TGGTTGTTTAACAGTTTGAGAGAGCTAGTCTTGCTCGCAGTCACTTGAGTGTGACTTTCGCCGTTTTCTTCTGTAATTCTGAACTTTTTCTTCTTAATTCTTCTTTTTCCCTCTCCTTCTTCTTCTCCTTCTTTTTTTTCTTCTTCTTCTTTTAGAAATGTCTCACTATGTGAGACTAAGATTAGGCGCATATACTTTTGGGGTAATAAATAAACCTCGGCCCAGTCATCCAAAGTGAGTCAAATATGATATGATTTATAAATGGGGCGCCAATAACTAAATCATTAAATTAATTTCTTTCTTGTTTGGTTGCTGCCTGCAATTGTCTAAAACTAAGCGAGAAAAATATGCAGTCATGAAGGCATAACATAATTATCTTCCTAGCTCTTAGTCCTCCATGGTATTATGAGTCAACTTTAAAGAAAATGAGGGATCGCCGAAATGTTTCCAATTTTGCTTTGAAACTACATTGAAAATTGAAATAAAAATGACATGCTGTTTACAATGAACGATTTGATTAAGCTATGCACTGGCATATCACAGCTATAGTTACAATTTATTTGACAAACTAGTAACCCCCCCCCCCCCCCCCCCCCATCACAAAACAACAATAAGTTCACTGCGTGCCTGGGGATTACATGCTTGCCTTCAAGAAATTAGATGATGATACTGAGCTCTTCTATTTTTACATAACAAAATAAACAAAGGGGTACACTTCCTGTCCCCCATTCACAACGAAACACCAATCGGCAATGGTCGCGTGCGAAAATTTGCATAACAAGTGATAGATCGAGGGCTTATATTGGTATAGTGTAGACTCATTTGCATATGAATAGTCTGCATTCGCCCGTCGTGTTTAAAGCATTACTAATCTCTCTCTAATAGTCCTAGAGTATTCACTTCGCTTTCTGTCAGTTTAAGCTTGCCTTGACGACTTGTATAGATACTCAAACATTCCTCTATTATATAGTTAGTTTGGCATTTTAGTTTAGTAAGCATCTATTTTGCTCGAAAAAAGTCATCGATATCGTCGATTCGTTAAAAGTGCCTTGATCCAGACTATATTTAGTACAGGAGCCAGGGGGGGTCAACCTAGCTGGGAAGGAAACCAATTTTCATGTGCACAGATGTAAATATCGCATACCTTCACATAACAAATTGACCGTCTGGCATGTTGTTGGTGGGTTGTGGCCAGGACGCCCCCAACCAAAAAAAGTGGCCCTTTTGACGACAAAATAGTATTTTGTAAATAATATTTTAAGGAAACCTTGAACCACCATGAGTTTGGTGTCTTATGAAAGAGAGTTAAATTTTCTACATTTTGATATCAATTTTAAAGAATTTGGGATTAATTAACATCGCAAATTTAAGTAAAAAACATGATTTTTGTGATTTTTTTCGAAAAATTGAATTTTACCAAAAAACATATTTTCCATATATCAAAATTGAAAAATTAATTTTTTTTAATAACTTTCCAGGAATTTGCTTATGTACAACGACAATATCTTGTGCGAGGGAGAGGTTTATATATCATTTCTATAAAAAGTTATAGCAATCCAAAGTTATTGATTTGATTTCCAACAAACAACATTTTTGCCCACATGTGTATTAACTGTATGCATATACATGCATTATGTATTAAGGACCTGTTTGGTGTGTTTTACATCGAGTTTAAAGATAACTTTGACTTAAACCTCTAATCACCATGTATTTGGTGTCAAAAGATGGATAATTAAAATACCTTCATTCTGATATCAATTTCAATGAGTGATGTAATGTGTGAAATATAATTTTGAGCCAAAAAGGTGCTTTATTGTAGATATTCCTCTGATTTTGGCCAGTATATCAGTAAATTAACTGGACAAAGTGATAAGACATTTAGTGGTGCAGAAAGTTTCAAAGGATTTGGAGCACTGAGTGCATTGATAAGGTTCTTCTTCTGTACTCTGGGATGTTTGAGGAAATGTGGACATTGGCAGTTGCCTCTCCCCCCCCCCCCCACCCGGCACCCCGCCCCCTTCCAGCCGCTTGTCATAATCTTGCCCCATGCCCAAGATAAGTTAGTGCATCGATCAACATGAATATAATATAATATTGCCATATTTTGGTTAATGCCCTTGCCTCTCCCTCCCTCCCCCCCCCAACCCGCCCCCAAAAGGGGGGAGGAAGGGAAAGGGAAAGAGGAGAGCTAAAAGGAACAAAAACAGGAAGAAGAAAAGAAAAGGTGAAAAGACTGGGAACAGTTGTGATTAATCCCGCCAAAAACGTGTGGATCGAAGGGGGGAGGCGAAAAACTCTTCCCCCCCCCCATCAAACTTAAAACAGAGAGAAGAATGGGAAGGGAAAGGAAAGAGTGGAGAAAGGAAAGAAAAAAAAGAGAAAAAAGAAAGGTAGGGGGATCAGTTGCGATTTTCCCCGCCAACAAGGTGTAGATCGGGGGCCAGGGGGAGGGCCACTGGCGTACTGATGGGGGAGGGGCTTTGGGAGACAGATCCTCCCAAGTATAATTCAAACATGGTTTATTTCTTATCGATACCGCTGATTTAACAAATGTTGCTGAAATAAAGAAAAAAATCAGAAATTTTGTACTCAATATGTAGTATATTATCATTTTTGATGCGTTTGTTGGAAAATGGCAAATTCTCCAACATCAAATTGCAATTGATAAGTTCTTCTTCTGGTGTTTTGGGAAATGTGGGTATTGGCAGTTGCCTCTCCTCCTCCCCCATCCCCACCCCCCCCCCCTTCCAGCCGCTTGTCCTAATCTTGCCCATGCCCCAGCCAAGTTTAGTGCATCGATCAACTATTGCCATATTGGTTTAATGGTTTATTTTGCCTGACTACTAAGAAAACACGTTGTATGCTTGTAAGCAACCAATAATCCGCATAATTCCTATTGTGATTAATTAGAATGACATAAACTTTTCTCATAGAATAGTTTTCGGCTAGGTAAGCAAAGTTTTTTTTCTCTCGATTACAAGTATTCGGTACAAAAATTGAAGGAACATTATTAAACTACTTGATTTGATTGAATCTCAGTTTAAGTTTTTTTGTGTGTTTCAAATAGAAGGTTAGACAACTTCATTTTGAAATCTTTTCTGCTTAGC